GTCAGTTCCTGTAGGACTGCATGACTCCTAAAACCAAGCCCCTTCAACATCACCAAAGCGCAAGATAGCATAATTTCAAATCAGGTCACATTCACCAAAGAAGCCATGATACTGAGGCAGGCAAATTAGCATGGTTCCTGTGGAGCGCCAGCTGCTCTTAGATATATACCTACCCTTTTCCCTAGGGCAGCCCTGTGTGTTCCCCACTCTACAGTTCCTCCTGAAAGACACAGCTGGGTAGATCAAAGGATGTGCTGAGAGCCCCCATGTCTTGTGTGGGAGTCATAGAGAGGAGAGAAGCACTGAGGTGCCAAAGCAGGGTTTTTTCTAGGCATTGAGTTGAGGCTGGACAATAACTATAAGGGCAGGGGAACCACCAGTGACTGCTCAGATGAGCTAGGGGGGAAGAAAAGACACAGCAGAGAAGCTCAGAGATGACTGCTTTGAGAGCAAGTGAAAGGCCACACTGTACTGACTTCTGGTCATCAGCATTGCCTAAGGTTAAGCACAAGAACTGGGACAGTTCTTGTATTATTATAGTAAGGCAAAAGTATCAGACTCCCAAGCTCAAGGTGGTGTGATTTTATATGCCAGCCTTCAGTGCATGTTCCTTCCAATCTATTTCACCATAGGGGATCTTCAACACCTTGTCTGTTATGGAGAGATTTCTACTCTTTCTCTCCTGTTGGTTCTCCTTTGTTGTAGCTCAGTAAGTAGGTACAGTGCCTAAATGTCAGTGAAATTGCATTGACTCTGGGCACATCCAAGCACATCAGTAGGAAGTCAGTTATGGAATTGGTGTGCCCAGTGCATGTCACCCACATCCCAAATAAGGAGTAGTGCCCCAGCATCGTATTTTGACACAAAGTGTCCATCTCCACACCTATCCCTTATGACTTTAGATCATGTAGATTTGTGTTTTCAAACAGTCACAGAATGGCTTGGGTTGGAAATGACCTTAAATCATCCCATTCCATGGGGACAGGGACACCTGACATGGGCAGGGACACCTTTCATTAGAACACGTTGCTCAAGGCCCCATCCCACCTGGCCTTGGAACATTTCAGAAATGGGGAATCCATAACTTCTCTGGGCAACCTATGCCAGTGTCTCACCACCCTCACCATGAATAATTTCTTTCTAATAGCTCATCTAATTTTTTTTAGATTTTTTTCTTTATACATTTGTTGCACAGCATTGCAGAGTGGAACTGGAAAAAGTGTTCACTGTTACATTATTTCCACGCACAGAAGTAACTGGGGGTCACAAAACCTCAGAAAAATAACTGTCATTACTAGTTTTAACAAGCTTTGATTTGGATGTTTCTGTGTACTACTTAAAAACATCCACAGACTGGTAGCAACGTAAAAGCAAATATACCTAAAGAAATAAGAGTCCTGCCTACAAATATTTCTATTCTATTCTTAAAGTATTAAATAATATTACAATAATTAATGAAAAAAATGTTGATTTCAATGCTGCATCTTCTAATTTTAAAAGGAAACCATTTTCATGATTTTAACACACTTTCATCAAGGTTATAGTAAGTAGGAAGTGTTAATGGAGCCAGCATTGCAGCGACATACATTAATATAGTAGAACAATGCTGCATAGTGTGTCTAAACATTTCACCCTGCTCCAAGCCTCAGAAATGATTCTATTTCAGAAATGTGAAATTATTCTATATGCATAGTACTTTCTTTACTGCTTCCTCTACCACTTGTTAAACAGTTTTCAAAAAGGAAAATATGTTCTTTTCCTGGTGAAAGAATGAAGAAAAAAATCTCAACCAGCAAACAAAAAGCCCTTGAGATCTGATACACTATCTAACGGCTTTGTTGAAAATCTCTGGTTAAAAATTTTGCTCTTCTATGGTCTATCCCCACATGAACAAGAAAAAAATACTTAAACCCAGTCCACTGGACAGAATGATTCTTTCTTTACAGCTAGCCTTTTCCATTTTGTGTAAATCCTTCTTTACCATCATGAATTAATTACCCATAAAAAGGAATAAGAGGAGTGATGTTCCTATTCTACAGCATGACATAGTCACAATGGAACTAGAAATTGAAAGGATAAATCTTGCAATGAATGGTGACATGCTTTATACATATATAAGTACTACAGAAAAGATGATATTAACATTCCTCAGTTTTAATAAGTTCTTGATCTTGATCCATCTGAGAATTCAGAAGCCCAATTGCAATCTAATGCCCTTCCAGAAATAGCACAAAATAAAGCTCTGATGTCATTGACTTCCTCATGGGCACAGTAGCATGCCCAGATTTTTTTTTCTGTGGATTTAACTGAAAGACTATGAATATTTCAAGAACTAGGCCTGTCTGTGAGGTTAGGTCCTGGAACTAGCACATGCCCCATGCAGGCAATGGTATTGCATTTATGGAAGCCCTTAAATCACTCCCATTCAGTCCACACTGGTTTTTTAAGCCACAAAATCGAGCTAAAAACAAATTGTCATCCCTTCCTTTAATGGTATTTTGCAAGTAAAGAGGGCAGAGAACCAAATAAACACACATTATTCACTTACCTAGGAGGGAAGAAAGGAGCATACAGCACTTAATTCCCTGCTTCAATGTGAGACATGTAGGGACGCCATACTGCAGAGCAAGCTGAAGCAATTTCCTTCATCGCCTGAAGGGAGCACATTAACTAAAACACAACTAGAAAATACATTTCCCTGAGCAGAAACTAGCCAGATCCTGCAAATATCAAGCCTCCATTGAGATCAATATTAAGCTGAATTTCAGACTCCTGCTATGAGTGGTGCTGCTTTTTACTCACACACAGCATCTCTCCAGCTAAAATTCAGAAGCTGCATCCAATGAGGGTTGATCAGAAATCAAATAGCCAATTGGCTGCTATATATTTATTAGAAAAATAGGTTTGGGGAATTCCCAATTCATCTTTTGCCACCACTAATAGGAAATTTTCATGTCAACTCTGTATTTTCCCTTCCTTCTGTTCCATTGCCAACTCATCCTGTATGAGGTTGTAGGCTCACTGCAGCAGGGATCTTCTCTCTGTAGCTTTGCAGGTACTACTGAATAAAAAAGGGAATCAGCTCACTGACTCTGAAGCCAAATGGCATCAACCTACAATCATCTACATCTCACTGCATCTGCCCCTGAACCTCTTCTGACTCCCTGCAGTGTCTCCATTACATGGTTATTATTTTGCTCTTCTTCTGTCCAAAGTATCTAAGACAAACTGAGCCTGTGTCACAGCCAGCCTCAGTAGACAGTACAAAGGTATAGATTTTAGATATGTCCTGAGATATATCATGAAGGCACACAGGGTTATTTGAGGGCATATGAGCTGCTGAGATAGTCCTGAAGGACTCTGTAGACTGGAGGAATCATGGATTTGTCCATGTTGTTGACTAAGAAGTATCTTCAGCAAGTGGTCATTGTCTCACATTGCAGTAAATGTCCAGTAGTCTTGGACAATTGACAAAAGATCATCTGCCAATTCTATCTCATCTAGACTATTACTTTATATAGCCCTATATTATTTTTATACTAATAAACGAAGCTGTGCCTGAACTCATTCTCTGGCCAGCAGCAGACTGGCTGACACTGTCTGGTGATAAATGAAATACAAAAAATCCCCTTCCTTTCAAAAAGGGGCAGCCACTGCAAAAACAACTTCAGGGAATGTTCTTTTGACTAACTCCTGAACCTCCTAAACTAGTTGGAATGGCTAAAACTGTGCCAGAGGCTTTCTCGTGCTTTAACAGAATAGAAAATCAGGTTGTATAACTCAGGCTCAGCATTTAGTTCTGTTTTAATTGCAGTCAGACTCCTGTCTCCCATTGCAATCTAATTTATAGATACTGTGGTGAGGGGACAGGGAGAAAAGGAAGTTATTACATGTGGATATTGCTCTTAGCAAAATTGTAAAAAAATAAAAACCTGCAGATCTTCCAACATTTGGGGATAAATTTGTCAAATTGTTAAACTCACTACCTATTCCTTCTCCTTTAGCACTGTGCCCCTATAAATTTTAATGTATTTCTTTTCTATCAAAGGTATTATTTGGTATAAGTGACAAAGTGACACATTTGGTAGCTTTGTAAATATACATTTGAAAACTCCTGGCTGTCACAAAATAACTGGGCTGTCAGATTGCAAAGTCAGAGTGAAGCAAGGTGGTTAACTGAAATGAGACTCCCATGAAGAATTTTCTTGTCACTCTGTATGTGGAGGCATCTGCTGCAAATTCAGACTCTCAAGTCAACAGACACTTTGATCACAGGATGATTTATGTCAGCCATCAAATGTCTGAGTGGTAACCACACATCTGTCACCAGGACAATGTGGCATAAAAGAGAATTTAATTGCTTTTGGATTATAAATAAAATGAACATTGCAGGAATAAATTATGAGATCACTGTTAATTTGTCGATCATGCTATGAAGGGCAAGAAAAACTATTGGGCATAAAAAGCAAAGTTATTTTTGCTCCTAGGAGATGCAGTTAGGAACATTTTAATAACAAATGGCAACAGTCTTTTTTGCTAGATACATACAATCTGAAAAAAAAATTGTCAGTGTTGATGAATCTGGCACATCTGTCTCATTTAATCAACTCTTGCAGGTGCTAATGGAGGAAACAATCTGGGATAAAGGACTTGTGAAAGTCAGCTATTAAAGATATATTTAATATTTAGATCCACTTCTCCGATTTCCCATTATTTAAAACTTACATCTTGGAAGAGAATCACTTCTAAGACAAAACAAGCTGTGTACTCACCACCACGAAAAACTAATTTGTGTTCAATGTCCAACCAAATTATGGGTGTCTAGCACACCAGAAAGACACAAACTTCCTTTTCTAGTCAGTGAGAGGGGCCTGGACCTCAGCTGAATTATAGGATTTGGATTTACATAAATATTTGCTTGTAGACAAGGTGTCTGTCTACTCATTGCTGTCAGTGGTTAATAAGGATTTGACTCAGCTGCCACAAGGTGATGTCCAGTGTCCTTTTATTTGCCCTAGATTACCTGAGACATCTACACAGGATTGGCAGAGATACTCATGACCTCTTCCCTTCTGAATTAGCAGCAGGAGACAAGGAAGGATTCGCCATGACAGCAAAATTACACCAAATGCTGGCATTAGGGAACTGACTCTGGCCTCGACTCAGTAAGGTCCATCACTTAATCCCTTGGTATGGAAGGTGCCCACATTCATTCTTCAGGTTCTCCAAAGTATCCTGCAAGGCCAAATGCATGTTGCTTGAGTGTTGCAAAGCTAAAGTGAGGCTTCCAACAGGCAGCAGGAATACAGCAGGAATCCCTGCAAAACACGACATAAATGCCATAATTTCCCAGATTGAAAAAATAGAAGGGAGCAGGGAGAGTTGTTTTTAACTCTTGCCACCATGACCCTGGTCAGGTCACAGAAATCCATTCTCCAGACTCCCTTATTTTCATGTGTCTTTCAACTGAAGTAATTTGTGAGACTCACCTTTCGTAGAGAACATTTAGGTTAATGGGGTCCAGATCTCAGTTTCACAAAGTGTTAATGTAGTAGAATAGTAATAATAGCAATTGCAGAAATCACATTCTCAGCACTTCATATACAAACTTATATGAAGTGTTTGTGTAAGCCTCAAGTTAAATGAAATTGATTCTCAATTCTTGAGCCTGTACCAAGCACCACTTATTGTAATATGCTACATAAGTTGTAAACATGATTTGATTCTCATACAGCCCTAGTGAGAGGTGTAAATAATACACGCAATGTATGCATGAATACCACTGCTGGAGAGAGGTTAGAAGACTAGTCTAGGGTGAATTATTCATTTTAAGGGATTTAACATCCCAATTTAACCTATTTTTTCTGCTCAGCAGTGACTGGCATCCAGGTTTAAGGCCTGATTGCACCTGCAAACTGACTCAAGTGATATAGGAGCAGCAGAGAGTCGCCAAAGGCTGCCTTAGGGAACACCACTGCACAGTGTTTGCTGTGTATGGTATCACAAGAGCATAAAGGCTCTACTTGTATTCTTTTCCAAGATCTGCCTAAGATGTGTGGCAAGGAACAGATGCTGTTTTCTCAGGTCAGTTTACTTTAACTCACATGGAATAGCTGAACAAGTTGTTTCAGTTTATGTACAGGACCATAGCTATACCAAAATACAAAGGAAGAAAAATCTGTCCTCAAACTTCTTATGGCTGATTCTGTATCTGAATATTAATTGATTATTTGGAGCATACAGTCACAATTAGACGATATTATGCTTTCTTCTTTATCATCTTCAGTAAATTAATTATCAGTACAAAGCATATGTATGAATGCTAGTCCCACCAAAGCCTATTCTCTCACTGAGTTTAGACACAGAAAGCCTTTCTCATCTGTAGAAAAAGAGTTTCTCCAAGTAAAAGTGATAGAAAAAGTGAGCAAATTAGTGAGGTAAAATATTTCCAGGAATGAAGGGTCAGAGAGGATCAGGCGAGGAGATAAGGCATTAGTCACAGCTACCTTCAATAACATGTAGAGATCGTAGAGGAAGATGTCTGAGGAAATGTGAGACAACACTAGCTGCTACTGGAGATAAAAAACTAGCTTCAGTAAGAAGCTGAAAGTACTTTCAGGAAATCACAGAAAGGGAAAGTGAGGATTAAGCAATCCAGATGTCAGAGGAAAGATGAGATGATTATAAGGTCTTGCTAAGAATAAAAGTCACTTCATGTAAATTCTTATACCTAACAAGTAAGTATTGTTTTAAATTGAAAAAAAAAAAGCCTCAGATTAGGCATTTGCAAATTTATTCTGATTGGAAATATCATGTGTAAAAACAGATTTTCATAGAGATAGTGATGTTCCCATCATTGAAAATCTTTCAAAACAAAGGATAGAAGTTATATCTAGAGTGATATAGTATACCAAATCTTCACTGAATCAAAGGAATGGACAAATGGTTGCCTGATGTCCCTTTCTGAGTCTTGGCTAAACAAGTGGCAAGTGAACTCAGAAACTGTTTTACTGCCTGACTGTTTTTCTAACAATGGTTCAATTGTCTCCTATCAGATTTATCCAACCTCCACTGAGCCAGAGGTGCAAAAATCACCTGTGACACTTTTGTTCACCATTTCAACTATGGCAGTACAGCACTCCTAATCTTTTCCACAGATATTCCTAGCACAGCTTCCAGAGAGAAGTCACTTACCTCAATAATCAAACATTTTAAACCAAAGCATTTATCTTCAAGGACTGAGGTATCAGTAGGACCTCTGGCTTCACAGACTCTTAGACTTGCAGAGGGAATGCATTTATTCACTTTTTTTTTACTCACTGGCCCTAATGAATGATAATGAGGTGATGCATTATAAGCTGGGTTGATAAGAAGTGCTTGGCAAGACTAATATCCCAAGGTATTCCAATACAATAGGAGAAAACCTTTCTGGTTCTCTCTTTTGAAGGGCAGGTTAAAAGTAGAAATCCAAGTGTCCTCTCTATCATCTTTATCTCCTCAACAACAGAACCATGGATGTGGTAGTTAAGATCCCCCAAAAGGAGCAGGTAGTCTTTTTGAAGAAATCCTTTAATTTCTCTTCTTTTTCCCTTCATAATACCAGTTCTCATTCTTGCTGTTGGATTTTAACATGCCAAAGCTATTCAAAGTTCACCTGGTGACACAGACTAACAAATGGCACAAGTTTATGTATGACAGTACTATTTGGAGGATGTACAAAAGCATTTGAAGTTGTTACCCATAAGGGCAGATGTAGCTCAGTTTCCAGCAGAAAAGGGTGGGAAAAGGATTAAAAGTCTTTTGCTTTGCCACAATTTCTGCATATGGAATAGCAAGGTCAATTATAACACGGCAAAAAAGAAGCACAAGGTTGGGAGCCAGGAGACCTGAAGACACTGGGGAAACCTGCCAGAGTGCTAGTGTTGACTGTGGCTAATATAACACTGAAAACAGTGTTGATAAATCAAGAATGATTTCATTATTGCAGAGTGCTGCTCACACAGAGTCAAGGTATTTTCTGCTCCTCATACCACCCCACCAGGAAGAAGGCTGGAGGAGGGAAAGGAGTTGGGAGGGACACAGCAGATTTCAGTTTGGCAATGTTTGCCTTCTTTGGTACATGGGGAAAAACATGTGCCACTTCTCAACCTTTTTTTTTTTTAATGCTGATCTCTTTAATTTCTTGCATTCAGATGTTCCAGCCTTTACCCTTTGGGTCCTAACTGTGCCTTGGATGAAGGGGACAGGCCACAGAAGGAAGCACAGGGTCACAGCTGGGCTCTCTTATGTGTCACTCCGTGTCCCACTCCTTAAAAAGAGCTTTTTTCAATACTAGCTGGGTCATTACTTATTAGTGAGCATAACTTTTGTACTCCTGCAAAGAAAAGCTATTTTAACATAAAAGTCTGTGGGTAAAAATATATTGACAGCAGAATTTCAGTGTGAACCATTAAAATGCACCTGAAGATGACCACCCTGCTGTTGCTTTGAATCAATTCCTGCAGCTTGCTGTGGACTGTTAGTCAAAAAGAAAATTCTAAGAAGAAAATCTAAATTAGCCCCTGGACAATACAAATGCAACTAGACTTGGATTCATATGTTCTGATTTCATACTGTGTTGCCTGAGGATATACTGAGTGCTAGCATGAGGCGGTATTCACCCTGACTCTGGTTAAAGTTGTTGGGTATTTTATTCACATGATGTGAATTTTTCCAGTGGGATTTTGTACCATAATAAAAGCAGACCTTTCTAAGATTTTTGAACTGTGATGAAAAATAACATTACAGCCCTGTTTTGGCATTATTAACACTTGGAAAAGGACTGCCTGATACTAACTGTTGCTGAGGATGCAGCATGGCTGTCATTGTGCAAGAGGAAATATTTATCCAAACCTGTTCATTTTTTTCATTTTAAGCAGGAATATATGCTATTTACCAAAAGTGAAAGTCCATTTTAGTGAGTATTTTATCTCTGAAAAATATTCAAGCAAGTTTATTACAGTATAGCAAACTTACAGAGAGTCAAGGGTGTATTGCTTTAAAAAAAAATAGAGGAAGCTTTCTGCAATCCAAACCACCGCTCATCTACTTTCTGAAGCTTTATAGCCACTCTGGGAAGGTACATTTCTTCGTATCTGTCATCAAGACAGCTCCCAGGTAACAAAGAATTAGTCTTAATATGAACCATTTTCTCCATCCTTGGCTTGCTTTTTCCTCTCCTGCTTCCCCTGTAATGCTTTCGTGTCTTGAAGGCCAACTGGAACTGCCATGCTACAGTTGCCTATATGTGCTAGCAATGACTTGGTGATTACCAGAATTTGTATTGGCTGCAGGAGAATTGGGACATCAGCTCACAGCATCTTCTTTGAAAACTCATTATTTTCATAAGTTTGCAAAATCTAGCAGAGAAAAAAATAAATATTGTTTTATAGGATTTCTTGGAAGTGTTTGAAAGTGTTTAGTCCTTCCTTTCCCTCCTTTAGAAAAATGTGAGATGCTTTTTGCCACTAACTTCAGGCATTATTTAGGAGCAGTTCTCTTGTTAGAATTTCAGATCAACACAGAGACACTGTCCGGACAGAAAGGTCACTTAATGATTTCTTTGAGAGTATTCTATGTTCTCCAGTTCCAGCCTTTGCTGGTCAGAAAGCTGACTCTCAGGTGGTGAGGAGGCTTCCTTTGAAAATCGTTCCATTTCTTGAATTTATGTACAGATGTTTTTATTCACATACCTAACAAAAGTGCCAGGTTTGCAGCACAAACAGAATTGAGTTTGAAATAATTCCTGGTACAACTGTGACTCAAAATGAATAGCAGTGCACAGTGTTATTTGAATAGTAATGACTCCCACAGAGGCAGTAGTTTTGGAACTATATTATTACCAAGAAAGCTTGAATTATGACCCACACCTATATGTTTGCAATATACTTTAAAAATTTTGCTGTTTCACTATTTTTTACTCTGCTTAAAGTATGCTTGCAATGTCCATGAATCATGAAGCAGTATTCTGGGAAGTTTTAAGAAGGTTCTGTGGAAGTGAGTTTGATGTTAATAAAGCAACCAACAATTTTTGTTGCTTTTGTTTAATGTAAATGTTTTCATGGGGAAATAAAAAAAAAGTACAGGTTGTATAAACAAAGCAGTAGATGAAACAAAAATTAACTCAAGTCTACCTCCTCTTTGGTGAAGAAACCTGACTATTTATAATTTATAAATATTATACAATTTATTATAAA